CGCGCCGGGGCGCGCTCCGCGGTCTTTACCCCCTCTTCCTGGCACCACCCTGGGCCAAGGCCGACTGCCCCCGAGGCAGCGGCAAAGTGACGGCTGGAAAGGCCTGGTCCCCGTACCCCGCTCTTCCTTACAACTCCAGCAAGGGGCAGGTGGCCACAACTTGTCCTGCCTGTAGCTCCACCTCGAGGGCAGGGGCAGGGCCTTGGTTTGTGTAGAACCCCCTGGCCCCACAGTGGGCGCCGAGTTTACCGAATCGGTCTTCACGATCAAAACCCTATGGGCGGCCGTCTGCAGACCGTGCACCCGCGCAGCGTGCTCCTCAGCGGACCCCAGCCTTCTCAATTCCCAGTTAAAACCCAGGCAGCTGCCTGCTCAAGCCACGATCAAGTGTACAGGGGAGACCTCACTTCCACCGCCTGACTGGTTTAGAAAGGGTGCACGAGCAACAGAATGCAGGTTGGGTTCTGTGCCAGTCCCTCTCCAGGACAGTGGTCTGGTGCACACTGGGTGTAAATTCCTTCCCCCTACAGTTGGGGCACTGAAGACCCTAGCATTCCTGGTGGGTAGAAGGTTGGAAGCCATTTCTCCTCCCCTAAGCGGGTTGAGAACCCCATCCTCACACAAACAACCATCTCATCTCCACGACCTTCCACTCCTTTGGCCCTCACTCCCACTAACCGTCCTGAGTTCTGGGAAGGCACCCCCGCCCCCCAACTCCACTTCTCCCCTGGACTCCCAGTGCCCTGACTTCTCCTTCTGGCCAGAAGCCAAAGCTGGCTCCCAAGGGGCTGTGGCCATGGTCTGGTTCCCAGCGCCGCAGCCACCACTGTGGGAAAACACTGGAGCTGGGCTGTTCCCTCCCACAGGCAGGCAGGCAGGGACCACAAAAGTGGTGGCCGCCCTGGGACTGTGGGGGAGGCCCCGTCCAGCCTCCGTCCACCCAGAGAGCTTTCCCTCTCGGTACCCAGGAGGGCTTTAGCCCAAACATCTTAGCCCCATCACAGAAATCGTTTCATTTTCTCCATTTTATTTGTCAATATAAAAATACTCAAATATTTACAACAAATAAATACGCGGGGACACAATAAGTTACACCGTTGGGAGCCCCCCTCCTAGGGCTGGAAGAGAGTATGCCATTATCCACAGCAGTCCCACCCTCTCTCCCCTCACACAGCCTTTCCCAGCCCTGTACAGGAAGAAGGCAAGTATAAAATACCACTGAACCCCAGGGCCAAGTGGGAGGCCCCACCCACCCTTCCCCCAAAACACACAGGAGGCTCTATCTCCCTCCCCCCACCCTGAAAACATTCACAGCCCTAGGAGCAGGACTAGGCCCACCCCGAGCCCTGCACTCCCCCTGAAGGGGCACAGCACCCTGCCCACCCCACCCCCATATGTACATCGCTGCCCGACATTCCGGACAGTGGGGGTAGGAGAGGCAAAGTGATACGACCCCTTCCCCTTCATAGCTCCAATGACTCACCAGGAGGACCCAGGCCAAGGGAAGACTTGACAGAAACAGGAAGGCTATGCCACAAGCGCGCACGCACGTGCACACACACACACACACACACAAACACACGTGCAAATACAGACAAACACACATCTTGACATTTCTGCCTTGAAAAGTTTTGGCGGCTGGGGTCCCGCGTGTCTGTGATTCACAGAGAGGAAGATGCCTCCTGCGAGGCTGGTGCCCTGGTGAGCCACACCAAGTGGCAGTGCCCGTGCTGAGCAGAGCAGGTCCTCATGGCCGGGTGGGTGCTGGGCAGTATCCGTCCCAGACAGAGCAGGTGCCCATGCCATGTCCCTGAGGTAGCTGGTGCCTGTGCAAAAGTAGGAGCTATACCTCCCACGCTTCCCGCCGACGCGGTGGGGGTTTCCCCTCATACTGATGACTCCTCGGGGTTGGAGTCGGGCAGTGGCTGGCGTTGCTGCAGTTTGCGTCTCAGTTCATCCGCAAGCTCAGGCAGGGGGTGCCCGAGCCCTCCCCGGTCCTCCCCTCCTAGTTGTAAGCGCACGTAACCATTGGCATTTGAGTTCCGCCCACCCCCCAAGTGAAGCCGAGTTGGAGAAGGCAGAGGCTGGCCTGGGATGCCTGGAGGTGTCGAAGGGGGCCCCCCGCCGGGCTGGCACCGGGCATGCCCAGGTACTATCTTAAGGGAGCCATCTGAATAGTAGTAACCGACAGGATCCCAAAGTTTCTCATCTGGTTCAGGACAGGGCCGGAAGGGGGGACTGGTGGGCTCCTTGGGCAGCTCCAGGGGGTACACCAGGGTCCTCTCAGTAGCCTTGGCCCCTTTCTCCAGCTCTTCCCGCAGCCGCCGGCGCAGTGACAGCACCAGCAGCAGCAGCACCAGGCACACGGCCCCCAGGGCCACCACCGCCAGCCACACCAGCCCCAGGTTTTCCAGGGGGGCCCGGGCCTCCAAGGTCACCGACGGGCCTGCCACGACAGCCACAAGGTAGCCTTCAGCAGCTAGCCGCGCCCCCTGCTCCTCTGAAAAGCAGTGGTAGGTCCCAGCGTGGCGGGGCTGGGCGGCCATCACAACTAGGGCCTGGAGCCGGGCATCGTAGAGGAAAGAGCCGGGCTGTTCCGCAGGCAGGTCCCGGCCCCCAAAGGTCCAGCGCGCATGGGCCAAGTTGGAGGAGAGGTGGCAGGGCAGCACCAGGTCTGTGCCCGCCACCACCGTGATGTTTTTGGGAGTGGGCCTGACTGTAGTGGCAGAGAAAAGGGAGTGCATGTTAGTACAGGGAAGCAGGGCTAGGGAAGAGGAGAACAGAAACTCCAGCTCTGGTCCAGGGCTCAGCCCGACGCGAGGGGAATGAAAAAGCTCACCTTTCTTACTGCCTCGGAGGTTGCAGATGCCTGAAGTGTCCGAGATCATCACGTGCTGGATCAGCAGAGATCTGGTAGGGGATGGAGGGTACATCAGCAGCCTGGCTCCAACCACCCTGAGTCCCTGCTGGTCCTGGTCTATGTAGAGCCCAACTCACCCAGAGTGGCCACCCACGGCCACACAGCGGCTGGTGTTGACGCTCCAGGCGCAATAGGGGTCCCGGGCGAGGACACAGTCTGCACAGGAGCGGTACTTCATGCAGTCGGCCAGGGGCAGCTGCACCAGCTGAGAGCGGGAGCCGGCAAAGAGCAGCTTCTGCGAGAGAAGCGGGGCGCAGAAAGGGGGTCAGCCAGGGCCACACCGCGGGACGGGCGGCCGGACCAGAACGCAGCACGGGGACAGCTTGGACTTCTGCAGGGGGCACAGGACGGGGCACCAGAAGGAGGAACAAGGGAACAAGGCAGAGCTGTAGTGCTGAAAAGGGAGCTCTAAGAACTGCAGAACGCAAAGAGCTTACACAGGCCAGATGCAATCCTAAGCCCCTTAGAGACGTGACCTTATTAGAAAGGGATGATGGGGCTGTGAGGCCAAAAAGTATAATCACACACACTCACACACATAGTGCGGGAAATACATTTCTCTCAAGGCCCATCAGCCCTCACGACAGCAGCAGCATAACATAAGATGTTTTCCTGTTTCAACAGTGGATGCCAATCTGTGTGTTTCTTCAACCACACACTTTGTTTCTGCCATTATTCCATGTTCTGGGGGACAATTTTGAGTCACAATAGGTGGTAAAAGGCAAACAAATCAAAGTTCAGGAGGTGTAGCAAACATGCCACAAGAGTATTGCACAAGGCAACTGGGCACAGCAAGTCATGCCTGGAATACAAGCACTTTGGGAGGCTGAGGTGGGCAAATCTCCAACTTGAGGTTAGGAGTTCAAGACCAGCCTGGCCAACATGGTAAAACCTTGTCTCTACTAAAGATACAAAAATGAGCTGGGCATAGTGGCATGTGCCTGTAGTCCCAGTTACTTGGGAGGCTGAGGCAGAATTGCTTGAACCCGGGAGGTGGAGGTTGCAATCAGCTGAGATCACGCCACTGCACTCCAGCCTGGGCGACAGAGTGAGACTCCATCTCAACAACAACAACAACAAAAAACCTTTAGCTGGGCGTGGTGGCAGGCACCTATAATCAATCCCAGCTACTCAGGAGGCTGAGGCAGGACAATAGCTTCAACCTGGGAGGTGGAGGTTGCAGTGCACTGAGATCGCATCACTGCACTTCAGCCTGGGTGACAGAGTGAGACTCCGTCTCAAAAGAAACCAAAAGGATTGCACAAGGATATAATGCAAGCACTTCAGGGAAACAGTCATGGACATGGAGGGCTGGGACCAGAAAGCAACTGGGGGCTGGAAGGAAACCACCATGGTGAAGGCATCATAAACATCTCACAGCCTGGGAGGTCTGGTCACAGGGGCATGGTCAGGGAAGAGGCCAGAGCCAGGACCACAGCACAGCTTGGAGGGTCTGAAGGAAACATGGGAGTAGTTACAAGGCTTGATGCTGGGAGTGCGGCCCCGTGACCTGGCTGTATATAATGGCTCCGTGCAGCGCAGATTCCGTTCTGTTTTCATTCTCGTTTCCAGGAACCCACCCCAGGTTAGGCAAGGTGTGCGTCCATGCGTGTGTGTGTTCCTAACTCTGCACTAGCCAAGCATGTAGGCCCAACTGGGAGAAGCAGCCGGACAGACAGAGTGAGAAGGACAGTGCTGGGGACAGTGGCAGATAGGGCCCAACTCACTACCTTGCTCTGAGACAGCACCAGGCTTCCCATGGGCTCCTGGTCAAACAGCTGCAGCTCTTCAATCAGGTGAACCCAGGGCCCCAGGCTCACGGCCTTGAGCAGCCAGCCATCTCCTGAGGGGTGCAGACGGGAAGGTGTAAATGACAGGGCACAGGGCTGTGGGGCAGCTCCAAATCTCCCTGCCCTGGGCACACAGGCTTCTGCCCAGCCTTGAGCAGCCATGCCTGCATACCCATGCACCCACCTGTGCCAATGAACAGCACTGTATAGGTGGCTCCATCAAGTCCTGTAACCCGGTCGGCCACCAGGTGGGTGAAGTTGGTGCCCTTCTTCACGAGCAGGGGGCGGCTCCACCGAGGCCCCACCTGCTCCTCCATCAGCGGGTGCTTCTTGATGAAGTTGAGGGTGTTGTCGGGCAGCTCCAGGGAGCTGGTGTAACCGTGGCGCCGGTGCCAGTTGTTAATGCACTGGGGGCAGGATATGGGGGGCAGGCCATCAGCAGGGTGGGATGGCACAGCAGCTAGGTGGGGAGACGCATCCCTGCCCCAGCACTCACCGAGCCAGGCCGAGGGCTGGGTACAGGGTCGGTGTAGCGGCCCCACTTCTGGGCTTGCTCCCGGTACTCCTTGTAGGGGCCCTCAAACACCCGCTGGATCTCTTCCAACTGGTACTCACAGACGGCCGACAGGTACATGTCACCCCTGTCGCAGCGAGAGGGAGCCCAGGGTCAGGTACCCACCTTATCCCCTTCCCACCCCAGCTCAGGGCAAGCAGCAGGAAGGCAAGGCCCGGCACAAAACAGCCATGGGTACCAGAATGCCCTGGCAGCTCAAAAGTGCCACCTGGCATAGGGCCCTGCCTGTTCACAGGCAGCTCGGAAAGGGGCAGGTGCCAGCATTCTCCTTGGCTTCTGGACACCTGGCTTCCTGGACTGCCTCTGAGGCCCGGTCCAGGTTCCCACCCATGCACCATCCCTGATCTGAACCCCAGCTCCTCCCCACTCTGCAGGAGCCCCGGCCAACTCACCACCGCGCTTGAAAAACCCCAAAGAAGGTGGTGTTGTGCCAGGAGGTGTCCTGCAGGGTGTGCACCGCCTGCAGCTGGTTGAAGTAGAGCTGCCAGTCCGGGGCAGAGCACGCCAGCCGCGC